GAAGACTTTAGTGGACCTAATTCATGGTGGTGCCTCTGAGAACTTATCTCCCAGTTAAGGACTAGAATCTAGAATGTAGTTACTTGCGGCAGGAAAGGGCGCTTGGGTCCTCAGGCTCTCAGAAATGGGAACAAGCTGAACCAAAGCATGACAGACCCAAGGTTTTTCTCCGCTGCTTGCATCTATGTTATGTTCACGTGGGATGACTCATATGTAAAGGCATTTTATCACACAGCTCGAAGGTAGTGCCCTCCAGCCATGAGGGCTGAGCAACGAGTGTCTCTGGGGAGTGCTCCTGCAGTAGAGTCTGCCTGGAGAGCGTTACATTCTTGCTGAAGCTTCATGGAGTGATGCTGCTCTCAGCCCCGGTCTGCTTAACTAGGAGTTCTTAAGGCTCGCTCCGAGTCATGTGGGAGATGAGTGGATCTTGTTTGTCATCTCAAGAAACATGACTACACGTAGACAATGGGGGAGACAGACTGGTAACACTTATCCAACACAATACGCAGGCCTCGCTCCCACCCGCTCATTTTCACCTGCTTTTGCAGACCCCCTGCTTAGATTTCAGACTGTGTGGTTGCAAAGGGCATGCCTGTCTGCCTTCCTTTCCCCCTCCATGACTGCTCAGAGCATGTGAGGACCAGAGGCGCAGGTGCTGCCAAGGCAAAGTATCCTTGTGGAGCAGCACCTGCATACCAGGAACTGCAGCATCAATGTACCTTTAGACAACATTTCTCAAGGAAGGTTGAGCAGAGGTGAGTATGTATCTTTATTGCTTTAAAGGAGTGGAGTATCGCAGTTGAATTTGGAAATGCGATATTCAAAAAGCTTGTGAGGGAAGGAGCATCACTTAGAGATTAGTTTCTACTGCAGTCAGAACTAGCATTGCAGAAGCCTGTTGTTCACAGTAAGACAACGTACAGTAAGCACCATTCAAGGCATGCCATCATTGTAAATATGTTTTACAGTGTGGGCTAAGGAGAAATGCAAGGCTCCAAGGTCAGGGAATAGGATAGAGAAACAACCACAGACTTGTCCAGCAAATTGGGTTAAGCCACAAGTACCAGCAGAAGTTCCTGCATCAGGTTTGTTTTATGAATGAAAGTGATGCCAAATGATCTGTGAGCTCAGTGACATGCACCATCAGAGCTTCTGCTACACTACCTTGTGCTGTTGGATTCATGCTGGACACTGTCTCTCTAGTCTCAAGAATGCATTTATCTACTTTGCTTAAAATATAACTGCACTATTTGCCAAATGTTGACCACACACATAGTGCTCATGTACTGAACAGTGATTCATTTGTTGCTCAGCTCATACAAGGAATTAGACCCATTCAGCACCCCACCATGCTTCATCCAGCAACTTTGTCAGGTTGGATTTGCCCGTAGTATGGAAAGTCAACCTCATGTGATACTCCTATTCCAAAAGTTACCTCTCATTGCCAGAAATGGATGCTCAAACTGGGGTTGCTCTGGAATCTCCTATTCCTTGCCAGTCATGCAGCACAACATGACATCAGCTCCAGGACTTCACCCTTTTGAGATTCAGTCTTAGAGCCACAGAATTGCTTGGCAATAATATATATATATATATATATATATACATATATATATATATATATGGCCACTGCCCTTCTGCCAACTCAGGGGGTGGTACATCACAAATCAATATTGCTGTTGCAGTTGTATTCCTGATTAGTGCTTTCAGCAGAGGAGGAAGCTCAAGAAGAAAATTCAGTAGTGTAGTATTGGAAGTGTTTCTCAGAGAAGCGGTGCACACGGAGGAACGCCAAATGCAATACGCTAACTACTGCAAAGGGACAAAATAATGGTCCCTAACTAACAGCCGATTCAAAGGATAGCTATTTTTGTCTCCTTTGTTTTCTCATTTACTGTGTATATTCATCTGCTGACATGCTCGCTTTGTGGACAGGTGCTGTTCTGAGTGACTGAAAAACAGTGTCCCGCTGTGTTTCACTCAAATATTGGTCTTTAATATATTATAAAAGCTGCTTTACTATGAACAGGTTCACTGACAAGCATAGTCTTGTTTTACAATCTAATGACTCAACCTTTATAAGCTCTTCAAGAATTAGTGATTGCTAATTAAACTAGTCTGGGTGAGAGGTATGAAAACAGCTTTCATCCTACAAATCTGTGTGTGAAACTAAACCACTCTCCAAAAGTAACAAAGAGGTGTGCAGACACTGCCTGCCATTAGTCTCTGGGTATTCCTCTTACAGATAAGATCTGGGAACTGCTATAAGAAGGTGGATGTAATTCTGGGACTGAAATGCACAGACCTGTCTCATTTCATGGAGGTCTGTCGTAGGCCCAGAATTAACATTTATTAAGACCTAGTACCAGGGGCTGAGGGCACCAGAAGCAAAGTTCCCACATTACCAGCTGCAAAGACAGGCTTTGGCATCAGAGTGGAGCTGGTCCTTCTTTGGACAAAGCTGCATGGAGGCAACTCCAGCCCAAACTGCCCAAGGCAAGCCCCAACCTTATCCTGTAGGTTTTCTTATGCTCCCAAATCTTGTCGTCTTCTTTCTCCTGCAGAGCTCGCAGTGGCCCAGTGCACGCAGCGCCCTGTTGATGTTGTTTTCTTGCTTGATGGCTCTGAAAGGATTGGGGAGCAGAATTTCCACAGAGCCCACCACTTTGTGGAGGATGTGGCCCGACAGCTCACGTTGGCCAGGACCAACAGTGACAACATGAATGCCCGGATTGCGCTGCTGCAGTACGGCAGTGAGAGGGACCAGGATGTGGTCTTCCCACTGACCTACAACCTGACGGAAATTTCCAATGCCTTGGCACAGATCAAGTATCTGGACTCATCCTCCAACATCGGGTCAGCCATCATACATGCCATCAACAACATCGTGCTTAGCCCGGGAGATGGGCAGCGACTCGCCCGTCGCAATGCTGAGCTCTCCTTTGTCTTTATCACTGACGGCATCACAGGAAGCAAGAACCTCGAGGAGGCCATCAACTCCATGAAGAAGCAAGATGTCATGCCCACAGTAGTGGCTCTCGGGAGTGATGTAGACATGGACGTCCTGCTGAAGCTTGGCCTCGGGGACCGGGCGGCCATCTTCCGGGAGAAGGACTATGACAGCCTCTCCCAGCCCAGCTTCTTCGACAGGTTCATTAGGTGGATATGTTAAAGGGAGTGCACATGGCCTCCTTTCACCAGTATACACACCCCTGATACTACCTGTTTTATTTTCTTCCCTCTGTATGGTTGCTAGCAACTCTGAGCTGGCCCAGAACAGATGCCTTCTGGGTCCTCCTTTCTAACCAAAATTCAGAGCTCTTTTTTGATTTTCATGATGAGAAGTCGTGTATGTTACATGTATGGTGCTAATTAAAACCAAGATTGAAGCAGGATACAGAGCCATATGACATACTTCTGTAAAGCTTTACACACACAAAGACAAGACGTGTACATACTGTAATCCTAGGAGGGCTTATCAGAGAAGTGAGAAACCTTTGTAACAGGACAAATGATCATCTCTAGTTTTCAAAAACTCTCAATATCCCTCAGTATCCTGTGAGCTTTACAGTTGTGACATCTCCCGTTCTTTAGCAAACCGTTCTCCAGATTATCTCATGTTTTTTGTTCTCTCAGTACTTCTGCCCTGAGAGGACCCAGGGAGTTTGTGACACATCACATGCTGCTTGAAATGGTCAGCAACTTGCTTGCCTTTGCATGGCCCTCAGTGGCTTGCTCCTCTTTCCCATGAGCAACAGGATGGTGAGAGGTTTTGCTGCCTTCTGCAGTTGTCTGCAGATGCTCCTTCTGGGGCTCTTATCTATTCTAAATTTCACAGATCATGTTTAAGATCTTTATTTTCCTGTGGGCCATATCTCCCTTGCTTCCTTCTGCCATTCCAACTTGCATCAGAACCTGTTCATTTATTACTGCACCCAAAATCCTGTCTGAGAGGAGCAGCATGCCTCCCAACATCTCAAAATACTGGGCAGCCACCAGAGCTGTCATCCCAATGTGCTCAAAGTAACCATGGTGCCTTCTTCCCACCGGTATCTGCTGAGCAATGCCCAGATTTGAACTTGAATTGTGCTACCTGCAAAATAAACAAATTCTTTTCACCCTATCCTGCAAAAGCCTCTTTATTCTGTAGTTATTATTTTTAATGAGCAGTTGATTTCTTTTGGTGCTAAGCTGGTAAATCCAGATAAGTTTGTCTTCTGCCTCTCCCCGCAAGTACTGGAGCACAAAGCTGGGCGACCCTGCAGCACAGGGGTCACTGCTGAGGGCCTGAAGGACCACAGGATGCTGATGGGGCTCCTCCAGCCCTCCCCACTGTCTCCAACAGTACCCTTGCAGACCTGTTCCTCTGTCCCCACACCCTTCCAGTGCCCATCCAGACCATGATCTCACAGCACAACAAAGACCTTGTCTTCATTCCTCACCTGCTTCATGTTCCTCACCTGTGCATGGGTGAGGAGAGCTGAGGTGCCTCTCTTTGAGAGGGCTGTGCCTTTCTCCACAATGAAGGTGACATTGCACCTGAGTCGGGCTTGACCCGTGCTTTCTTCAGCCCCTCTTGCATCCAACACTTGGGTGTCTCAGGCCAGGACAATGGGGCATTTCTGTAAGGTGGAACCCTCCAAGGACAGGGGTATTTCTGTAAGGTGGTGGAGGCGGGATGGGGAGAGGCCAGGCAGGGCTTGGGTTGTCCATAGGGTCCCCTGGGTCACAGGGTGCAGAAGAGACAGCAGTGCAGATGCAGGGAAGGGCATGGTGGTGGGGAGCTGTGGCCATGTGTGATGCAGCATGACTGCCCTGTTTTCCCTCTTTCAGAAAGGAGAGCTGTCGGGGAGCTTTAAGGGTCACAGGACAAAACACAACTGCATCCAGAGAGGAGCTGCAGGAGTGAAATCCCACTGCCCCAGCACACATATATGCACAGCCAGCAGTGCAACAAGGATGAACAAAGCTGTGCTGGCAGTAATCTGGGTGAAATGGCCTGCACCCCTTCTTTCGGAGATTCCCTCTGCCAGAGTGAGCTGCTTGTGGTTGTGCCACTGGGTCCAGTAGCCAGTCACACCATCTGGCAGCAAAGCCTTCTTGATAATGGGCCTGGGAAGGCTCCTCTTGAGCCATGACAGTGGGCAAACCAAAAATAAAACACCAGCAAAAGCAGCTCCATGTTAAAATTTTTGCGGTGAAAGCACTGCCAGACTTTTTACCTTACCTAGCAAGCATGCTGCAGTGACATGGCCATGGCTCAGGGACTGCAAAAAGAGAGCTCACTACTTTTTCCTATCAATTATTCCTGTGGTGTGGAGGATGACAACCCATACACCTCAGCAAGGGGAAAGTTATGGCATTCCTTGGTCAGGCCCCCTGCTACACCTGGTATAGCTCATGTGAAATGTAAGGACTTCTATGGGTGGTGGGATCCACATCAGCAGCCAGCTTCATTTCACAGGAAAAAACACACAGACACCAGCAGACTGCAAACCAGCATTTGATACTCCCCACATGGCTACCTGCAGCCTCGAGGATGACTTTCAGTGGGCTCTTCTGAAAGATAGAGGACGGAGCTGCTGCCCGTCATCTTACAGTAATTCCAGGTCAAAGAATTTACAAGCTAAAACCAAGAAAATCATTCAGCAGGCAAAAAACTGCTCTAAGAGAAAGGGGAAAGGAGCGGAGCAACATGCAGATGGTTCCCATGGGGCATTCTTCGTGTTTCATCGTTTCACCATCATGTGGATTGGAGATGTCCTCTTCAGTCAGAGTCGGAACTGCTGCTTGAGCTGCTGGAGTGCTGGAGGAGATAAAAACAGCTTTAGGATAGCACAGAAACAACCCTCTTGTTAGTGATCCTGTGGTGGGCACCTGTTCCCATGCCCATCTGCATCCAGGCCGAGCGTGCAGCAGTGATGGCTGCAGACCCACCTCTCCCCATGTGCCTTGGCACGCCAGCAAACGGTGTGCCCTTAGGTTTGCACGCGGGCTGGATTGCAAGCCAGTAATAAGCTAATGTCAAGGCCCCCAGGGAGGCCATGCAGAGAGAGTCAGCACAGCACCACAGCCTCCGTCAGCAAATGCCAGCCAGGTTATCCTGACTTGAAGATAAAATAGTTACTAATAACATCACCACAATGTTTATTGCAGTGCTGTTACAAACTGCTTTTTAGTTTGGAGCCATTGTTTTTCTGCTTGGAGAATATAATTGCAGGCATATCATGAGAGAGCTGGGATTTTTATCATTATTTTACAAGGGTGTTCAGGCCAATTAAGCAAAATCCAGAAGGGTCCTGCTGTCTGCCAGCAAGGGCAAATGTCAAGGCAGTTCACGTTCCAACCATTAAACATCAAGAGGAGCTGATGGTTTGCTTTGTTTGGGAAATGTTCCTACCTCCAATGGTGGAATTGGGGTCTTATTTATTCACTCAGACCTACTCCAGATGATGCCTGTCCCTGGAAGGGCATTTCCTGCAGCATCTCCTTTTGCATCTCTTCCATTGCTTTACCTTTTTTTGTTTGTTTGTTTTTTCTTTTTGTGTTTTTTTTAAGAGGGAAGTAAACTGCTCCTCTGCTGCAGGACACAAAGACATGACTCACTCTTGAGTGAGCAGGACAAAGTCCTGGGATTTAATATAGCGGCATGGTGCACCCTGTGTTGTGTCACCCTTCTGAATAGCTTCAAGGAATTTCACGGATGATGTCTCAAGAGACTCACGTGAAATGACTCATGATTGCCTATTTATTAACCAAATGGGAGTATCCACATCTAAAAAAAAGCCACTGAGATCTTGACAGCCCACTCCAGCCACCCAAGGGTGGAAGCAGGGAGCCCCAGCTGCCCAGGGTGGATGCTGTGGCATGCAAGAGGGAATGGGAAGGACACAGTAGAGATTTGGAAGAGTCCACTGCTGCCCCACTCTTACCTTGCCTCCATGGTGCTTGGAGTGCTTCTTCTTGTGCTTCTTATGGTGCTTCTGATGGCACTCAGGGCGGCATGGTGTACACCCTGGATGGGGCTGCCCATGGGGATGATGCCCTGGATGGGGCTGCCCATGGGGATGATGTCCTGGTGGGGGGTACCCATGGGGATGCTGCCCTGGTGGGTAGGGACCAGGTGGAGAGGGGCCACAGGGATAGCCACCTGGGGGTCCCGGAGGACAGGTCCCAGGGGCACCAGGTGTCACTGCAGGGTAGCCAGGGTAGGGACTTGCTGGAGTGTTGGGACCAGGGTATCCTGGAGGGGCAGGTGGGCAAATTTGCACTTGTGGTGGGGGCACTCCTCCAGGTGTGCCTAGGAAGAAGAGGAGGGCTGTTAGCAAGCACAGTTAGGCTCTCCCCAGGCAGGCAATGCAGGGAACTGGTGTATCCATGCACCCAAAGGACCCTTCCCAGACTACCCCCTCCTCACAAACTATGCCTCACTCCCCTTTGGTAAGCAGATAATTCCCCCAGGTGACTGTGGTGATTGCACTGAGCCCCTCTCTGAACTCCAATGGCTGTGCGGTACCTGCAGCCCTGCCCAGCCTCATGGCTGCTCACCTGGGTTGGGGTTCCACATTTTCCACAGTCCTTGAACTGCAAAGGAAGGACAGGCATCGTCAGAGCTCCCTCACAGCACCTCCTGTCACGGGGACGTCATCACCCTGACAGCAGCCAGGACCCAGCTCCTCTGCCCTGGGCACAGAGACCGTGCTTGCTTCCCCAGGAGTGCCATTCCCCCACAGATCCCAACAGCAGCCCCATACTTTTGGGTGACACTGCTGACCCCAAAAGTGATTGTTCCTACCTCTGTGCACCCCCAAAGCCCAAGCATGTAGTTTCTATTGTTAATGGAGATAATAAACCAACTCCAGCTGAACCTGGAACATGCCCAGCCCATGTCCTCGTAGACCGTAAGGGACCAGGGACACCATGTCTTCGTGTAGTGCCAGCCCTGGGGACAGTGCACCCTGACTCACGGGTGCCCATGCTCCCACTGCCCCCAGGCTCCCAGGCTGTCCTGCACCCTGCCAGGCTCTGCTGCCTCGGAGAGACGCTTTCACTCACCAAATCTGCAGAAAAGGTCCCAGCAGAGGTGATGTCAGCAGCACCCCTGATCACTGTCAGCACAGCTCCCCAGGGTTGGCGGGCACCCGCTAAATACCAGGGCCCTGCCCGGGTGAGGAGGGGTGCGGTGGGCAGGAGTGACACCACCAAGCTGTGGAACCAGCCACACCGCTCCCTGTGCCACGGCCGTCACCATGGACACATGGGAAATGTCAACACACCGCTCCCAGCCGGCACAAAGGTCCCAGAGGGCTGATAAAACCCAGGGACAGAGGGTGGTGGTTTCACCTCCCAGCATCAGGTGATGAGGTGAGTCAGGCGTCCCCACCATGATCCCTGGCTCAGTGCTCTCAGTGCGGGCACAGTGGCTGGGGGGGCTGGAATGGGGGGTGGGGGTGGGGTGTCACTGTTGTAGGACAGCGGGGCTCAGGGTCCCGATAATGACTCCCTGTTGATGCTGCTCAGGGTGCTGCCATGGTGTGTGGGTGAAGGAGGTGATATCTGCCGTAGGACCCAGTCAAGAGAGACAAGAGGCAGGGCTGGATGCACCAATGCTCAGCTCTTCCTTTCGGGGGGTCTATGAGGAGGGGGCAGAGCTCCTCCTGCCCCACCCTGATGCTGCCCTGTGTTTGGCAGCTCTCCCTTCCCAGGCCAGTGAGCAATGCAACAGGCTGGTCTCATCATTCAGGAAACATCAAAAAGACACCTCACAGAAAGGGACTGAGACAGGTCTTTCCCCTGTCTCAGGGGGGGTTTGGGGCTGAGAAACATACAGGAGTGTGCAGACTCAGGAGGTACCCACAAATGAGAATCTCCTCCCAGGCAGCTCCATTGGGATCCCTGTGGTCCCAAGCACTGCCAGACCAGCTGGCTCCTTCTGCCACAGGGATGGGGGGATGAAGACTGGGGTCCAAGCCTCAGACAGCAAAAATCAACCTTGGCGGGGGAAAGGCCACCAGGGGACACATCACTGGGATCTGCTTGAGTGGAGCAGCTCTCCCAGGGCAGATACCAAAGGAACCCAAGCAGGGATGAGTGTGTTTCCCATCTGTATTTGCCACTGCAAAGCCCCCAGTCCATTCACCAGCCCCTCTCAGGCTGCCCGCTTCTCCAGCAGCTCCAGCACAAGTGACGAGCCTCGCTTCGCCTCCTCCAGCAGCCCAGAGACCTTCTGTGACATCTGCGCAGGGAGGGAGAAGATGCATTGTTTGCCACTTGGCAGGACAGGAGAGCTGTCCACCATCCACCCCATGCTGGTGGCAAAGGGAGGGGGTACCTGGGTATGAGGGGTCCCAAGGGGCTTCCTCCCCACCTCTGTCCTACCTTATCCCTGATACCAGGGATGGGGCACATATGTGGCCCCTGCTTACCACAAGCTTGAACTTCTCATCTGTTATGTCTTTGAGGTTGATCATAACATTGAAGTAAGCTCCGAACACAGCTGCTTCCAGCATTTTGGCTCCCACCTAGGAAAAGAGGCTTGCAGGAAGCTCTCCTGCTGAACTGGAGCACCAGCATACGGTCCTGCAGCAGGGCAGACTCTTACACTGCAGGGCTCCCACCCTGTCATCCAGTGGGCATGCAGCACCTTCCAACCCAGTATTTTCAGGATGTAAAGTGGGAACCATTCATTGCCTTGCCACACAGGTGGGAAAACTGAGACAAGGGCTGTTGAAGGTTAACTCGCCTACAAAGGTTGCAAGCTGTCAACAAGTTAGAGGGTAGAAACTACTGGCCAGTTAGGGAAGCATAGCTAGAGAAATGCAACCTGGAGGTCAGGACACAATGGGACACCTTTCAGGGAAAAGAGGTGAGCCCAGCAGGCTCCAAAGCCCCAGCCAGGGCAGTGTGTGAGCCCAGGGCCGTACCTGGATGTCGGATTTGCAGGCCAGGTTGCAGTGGCGTGCCAGCTCCTTCAGAGCAGGCCAGAGCCCACTCACCTTCTCTGCCAGGGCACAGGGCACCTTCACAGCTGTCTTCAGCCCCTGTTGCATGGCAGCTGTACGTCTGGGAGGGGGAACAGCCCGGAAGTGAGTGCTGGGTGGCCATGGTCCCCCAGTATGCAAGTCCTCACCAGCCCAGCTTACCTCTCCCGCTCTTCAGGTGTGCTTTTTGGCAGCTTCATAGCTTCCTGCAGGTGAAGAAAAGCAGATTTGCTGCCATTTGCTTCAAGATCCCATTTGCCTTGCATCAGGGGCCAGAGAAGACCCACTAGCTCCCATAGTCTTGCACAACTTCTTTAGGTGATGATGTCCCTTCCCCTGGCCCTGACTTGGGCCTTGCCTCTAAGGACACTGGGGTGCAGCGATGCTGGCCCCCTTTCCATCTGGAAAGTCCTCCACTTCCCACGGGACATCTGCCAGCAGTGGGACCTCACCATGTAGCTGCTGAAGGCACAGGAGTCAGTGTCTACCATGGCCACCAGCTCATCCATGGCCTGGTGGAAAGGGGGGATCAACTTCCTCATGACGGGGTCCAGCTCCTCAAACTGCCGCTTCCCATAGCTCATCAGCCCCACCATGCAGCCCAGCGCCGCTCCCTGAAAGGGCACAGTAGTAAATCCTTTGGTGGGACACAGCTACCACCGTGCTGATTCCCCTCAGGGGCTCAGCACACCCAAAAGACTCCCCAGGCAGGCAGGTACCCCATCCTGGTGTGGGGCACATACCATGGCAGCTGCAGCTGCAGACACGGAACCTCCTCCTGGTGCTGCCGACCTGCCACCAACTGCTCGCACGAAGGCACCTAGTGGCTTGGCCACCAGCCCCCTCTCCACCTCTCCTGCCTGCACCAGGTACCTGAAGGACAGTGGTCCTGCTGGTCAGAGCCCCCCAGATGCAGGGATACCCACCATCACCAGCTGCTCCCTTCTGACCCGGCACTGCCCTCTCCAACAGGTTTTCATTCGCCCCTTGGCTCTGCAGGTGTCTGAGAAGGGGACTAGCACAAAAAAACACAGGTGAGGGAGAGGACAAGGAGACCCATGGGGACAGACAGACAACTGAGAAGCACATGTCCTGGGTAGGCAGGGAGGGGCGTTGCTCAGCATTAGGCAGGGTGGGCTCATGCAAACAGCATTTGGTGGGACAGAAACATGCCTGCAGCCACATCCCCAGGGGACAACGACAAGGATTTAAAGTGCATGTCCTGATTTCACCTTGGCATGGGTGGATTTCCCTTCCTCTCCTCTGGTAGACGTGTTTTACACTGGGCGCTGCAGCACAGCGTCTCTCCTTGGAGGGCAGCATATGAGCTGGAGGCAGTGGAATTTGGGCTGGGGTGGATGATCTAATGTGTACATGCTCAAGTCTGGCCATGAAACCTGCTCCCCCAGCCTGTTTGAGCGACCTGGGGTCCCCCCACTTCTCACTGATAGCCATCAGCATTTGGGAGCAGGGGCCACACCATGCCTGCACAATGCCTGGCAAACCCTGGGTATGAAGAGGAGCTGGGTGCAGGCACCACTCCCAAAACAAGCTGAGTGTGAGATGCCAGCAGTGGGATCCCCCCATCTGGGTAGGGGTGGGCACCGTGATGAGAAGCAGGATGGGGGTCCCTACTCGATGATGCGCTCCCGGGGGTGAAACGGAGACAGGGAGTCCAGGCCCAGCCGACTGATCACCTGCAAGGAGCAGCATTGCAGCATCAGCCTCGTCACGATAAGTCCTGTTGCATCCTCATTCCCTGCTGTTAATTAACCATGGGTGATTCAGCCCTAGGACAGAGTTGCTCAGGCCACCACCAGGGGAAAGGACGGCTGGCGTCACCAGCCTGTCCCATCTCAGACTTAGGGGCGGTGTGCGGCCACCTACAAATGATTGGAAACTGCACCAATAAATAATTACCTTGCTCTTATCTAGCACGTTCCCCATAGGGTGGAAAAGTCCCTCCCTCCAGCAGCTGAAAAGCAGAGCCCGTCTCCTCCTTTCCAGCTTACACTGGTCCTGGGGCAGTTGCCCATAATGCCATGCACTGTCCTTGAGCTCTGGGGAGGTCTCCTTCCCCTCCTGCCCTCTCCAGGCAAGCTGGGCAGCTGCTGCCCACACTCTGTCCTCATGGGATGGTCTCTCTGCTTCCTGAGCATCCCAGCATCCTCAGGACAATAAAGCAACTTTTCCCACTTGCTGTGCTGTCACAGTTTGCCAGGCACTGTTCCTGGAGACAAGTGTCAGGCCTGGGGGCTGTCATACTCCCAAATCTCTGCTCAGTGCTACTTTGAGAGGCTGGGGGGCAGCAGGGGGCAGTGTGACTCTTTCATGATCCAACCCTTGTCTTAGTACCAGGAGGAGCCACCTTACCAGCCTGATCTTCTGTTCCTCTTCCAGGATGAAAAGTTTTTCCTTCTTGATGTAAAACTCAGCTGTGTCCAGCATGGCCTGCTTGGGGACAAGCCCCACCAGCTGGGACCCCACCACAGGGAGATTCAGTGCCTGCAAAGGACATCAGAAACATGACTATCTCCAGAGCCACCTGCCCTGCTACCACTACCACCCCAGCCTGGTGGTCCTCTTCCCTTCCTAGGACATGGGGAACTCATGGAAAAGTCTTCAATGGAGGAGATGGGGGCTACCAACAAGTTGCTGAGCTTGTCTGAGCTGACCATGAGATAAAGCAGAGCCTGACCTGGGGTTGGGAAGTAAAATTCGGAGGGAGATGTCCTCTGTAGAGTCCCCATTGACGTGGCATGCTGCCCTGCGCCACTCACCTCTGCATCTCGACAGACCTCCTCGTAGACAGCATGGAGTGGCGTGGTCTGAAAGTCCAGCAGGTTCGTTGAAACCTGGGCGATATTCTCTTCCTCCAAATACCAGCCGATGCCCTGAACCCTCTTCAAGCGCCCGGGCTGCCAAGAACTGCCGCGGTCAAGGCATGGCCCAGGAGGTGCGGGGGCAAGCAGATGAGCTCCCGGCATGCCACCGGCATGGAGGTACCTGGTCAGCGCCACGACCCTGCTCACGGAGGTTGAGGGCGATGCGGTGAGCCAGCTCCTTGGTACACAGCAGGTTGATGTTGTACGCGATAAGGAAGGTCCGGGCACCTGTCACTGTGGCCCCCCACCGGGGGACAAAGGTTGGGGGCCCAAAATCGGGAGCCCACTCTGGTTTAGCAA